ACAAACGGGAGAGGGAGAACGCCATTTACAGCGATGATGTGGATGTTTACATAACATTTAATGGATACCTTGTCGCACCAAGCATGCAGTAAAACTGGAACAAAATGGAAATGCCATAGAGGTTGGGTTATTCACCATTTTCTTTCTGAAAATGCATACTTTTTATTAAAAGGATTGAATTTATTTTAGTAGAGGACATTGAAAAAGTGGTGCTATTAAATATTCCTTTCACCCTTGAGAGGATAAAAATGCTGTTTTTAATAACGGGGGTTTAAAAATAAAAGGGACTAAAAAATGGTGGTAGCATTAAGCAGTATTTGAAAAAGACAGACATCTTTCCTTGGTGCTTAAATCACATTTTTTCTATTTTTGTGTGATGCTTTTGGTTAACCTGAAATCACAGCTTTAAAACCCACTATGAAATCTTCTTTTAGGACGTATAAAACCTAAACCTAAGTTCTGTTGAGCTTCTGGAATGACTTTAGTGTTTCTTTGTGGCCTTCAGAAATGGACCCTGCTATGGGAGTTAATGTTTTCAAAAGTTCTTATTGCATATATTGTGCCAAAGGAAATCAAATTAATTGTGCATAATTTTGACAGTGTGTTTATTGGAAACACTTCAGCACAGCAGTGGCAATAACCTGCTGTGTAGGTGCTTTACAGTATAAAACAGAAAGAAAGCAGTAGGGGAATAATGGGGTGACAAGAAGACTTCAGCTGGGAAGTTAAAACTTATTTCCACATGAATAAATAAATAAATAAATTATTGACAAAGCTCCTCATAGATAAAAACAAGTCACTGACTATCATAAAATCCTAACCTTAATCTTTTATATTTTATATATTTTATTTCATGGACAGAGTTTAAAAGTTTCATAAGTGCATAAGAAGAATATGTCTGTTTGTATAAATTAACAGAATTTCCTTCAAGTATTCTTCAAAATCAGAAAAAAAAATATTCAAACAGTCTTTCTCTAATTAATACACATTTCTAACCTAATCCAAACGAACCTGAACAGCAAAAGCTTTTTGTCATTTAAAGTCAGAATAAAATAAAGAATGGATTGTGTTTTGTATGGTGCATACAAATTTCTGGTTTAATTTGGTTTTGGAGGTTTAAAAGAAAGCACTGTTCATGTTAGTATAAAAAGCAAAGTGTTTTTAACTAAAATTATATTACAAACCTATTTGGATCCATAGTAATGTCTATTTTTTCCAAGTCCAATAGAGGATTTGTCAGTTTTTCCACCACATATTCAGGATATTCAAAATCTGTTTCATTCTGGTTTAGAATATTGCAAGAATATGGAGCGAGGCCACTAATAATGTCGGTTGAAATGCACTGTTCCAGTTTTTTTTCCAAACTGACATCGGTACCTGGGCTTAGCTCATCAGCCGATATCCGATGCCAATCTGATTCAACTGTTGAAACGATGAACCATATATCTTGCTGCGTGAGTGAATGCTGTAGCCTTGACATAAACATTGATAAAAAGGTAACAAATGAACACATCTATAAATGCACTATCAATATCAAATCGCCAATGTCTGATTCGGCTAATTAGTCAATAGTGGAGCCGATATCAGATCCAGGTATCTGATTGGTGCATCTATTGTTTTAGGTTTAATATACATTTATTAAACATAATAAATGTATTTAATCCTAATCCTCACATTAATAAACTTTATAAAAGGTTTTTAAGAGTAGTCTGTTACAGGTCAGCCAATAGCTCTTTGTCTGTTTACCAGGAGTACTGTATTAACTTCAAATTATTTAAAAAGATTTCTTACTCATGAAAAAAATGAGCAGTTTAGTTCTTGCAGTATCACAACATCGCAAACATCAGTTTCTTAAATTATTGCTCCCCTTGGATATTGTGTATATCTTCTATATTGCAACAATGGACCGATACGCCCGTTCAATTAAATAAAAGGTTTTTATCACAGATCCATAAATGTTAAACCCTTATCATGCTGCCTTATTTGTAAAATTGACACACAAAAAATTTTTTTTTTATTATTTTTAGCTGTTGCTTTTTGGAGAAAAAAATAAATGTTGTTTTTTTTTGTTTTTTTTGTTACCAGGTATATGTTTTATTTTAGTGAATTTAACATTCTAATAAAAATCCTAAATGATTAACAAATCTGCTGTGCTCCAATCCAAGCAAACATCAGGGATTTACTAAATAAATGCCTTGTATTCTTGCTGGACAGACTGCAAACTGCAGAGCGGTTTTATGTAAATATTTGTATATTTCCTGTCTGTAATGGCTTTCATATTTGTAACCTATCATACTGTTGAAGCTGGAAACTATTTGTAAACAGTCTTCCTCTGTGTGGGGTCATTTTATATTGTGTCACTATGAAAACTAAATAAATATATATTGCATAATTTGATTTTTAATTTCAAAATGAGAGCAAGTGCCACTTTCTGTCACGATCTGAATTTAAACCTTTTTTAACCAACAATGTCAGGCAAAACAAATGGGTTGGTTTTTTTTTTTTTTTTCCCTTTGAAGGTTACCTCTCCATCTTATTCTCTGTGCTTTTGGTTCACAGTGAGGCACACGTCACCCATAAAGGAAATTACATTTTAGACTTAACCCTATAATGGAGCCACTTCTGTGACATAAACAAATAAAGCTGGTTTAATAACCCCAGAAAAAGCAGAAGAGTCTGCAGCTCCATCTGTGTGGCCCTTTCTATCGCATTAGTAGTAATGCCATCCAATGGGAGGTTTGGCTAGAGGAAAACACACTGTGGCATTGCAAATACTTCAGACTTCCAGAGGAGATCTGCAAAGCTCTTTTGGTAAACAACACATGGCATCTTTCCTGGTTCATCCGCCCAGCATGATGGACAGAATTCCATTGTGCAAAACAGGGAACTTAAATTTTAAAAAGAATTAAAATTTATATAAAGATCCAGTTTAAGTTGTTTACATTTTGTTTAATTCTAAACAATTAATATAAAGTCAGAAAGATAATATATAAGGCTAACAGATTTATTCAGTAGATAATAAGTAAAGACTACATATAATCAAATTATAATTATTTCTTGTCAAATTGAGACAATTTTAAGGCTACATGAACAAAATTAGTCACTGACAACTGATTCAGAGCAGAGCTTTGAATCTTTGAGCCTTGAGCACATGGATGATGTAAGAGCTTTGGGTAGAAGTATGACATTGGCCAAGAAACAGCTTTAATTTAATTAAAACAAACCTGATGGCTTTTTAACATAAAAAAGTAAATATTTTTACCCATCCATGTCAGTCCAGTGGCCTACATCTCTACATGGAAACTCAGTAATGAAGATTTAAGGTCAACTGTACCAATATGGACCCCATTCTTTCCCAACCTATTTACATTCCAAACCAAGAATTGTGCCAATTTTCTGAGCTGAGTTTTGAGTAATATTAGATGAAATATTGGTAATAAATGATGTATATTCGCTCTAACTTTATATTATTCTCCTATTTAAAGTGGTTGCAACTCAAACATATATTTTGACCTTTCACCTCTAATACCACATTGTTTAGAGTCTGGCCTGCTTTTCAGTGGCATACATTGCTATATCATTACATTATATAGCATGAGGTAATTTGCACTCTATATCTCTCCTAGTCACAGTCTCAAACAATGTGATCTGCAGGTGATATTTTTGCAGCAGTTGTGCAACTGTGATTTCCATATTTATTACACATATTTCTCTGCAAGAAGACCCTGGGGCAAACCCAGAAATTTCTGGAAGAACGTTATACAGTATCTCATCAGGCCTAAGAACATGTCTGGATCCTCAAGAATGGTCAAATGTTTTCAGGGAGATGCATGTCTGTGTTTTCCCTCTTGGACCCATTAAAACACCTCACAATCTCAGACGTGCAGTTCGCTAAGTGATGAAGAAACGTTTAAATTTTATCACCCAATTATTCCATATAGTTTGGAGCTCTATTAAGAATCATTTTCAAGTTCAGAGATAGGACCTTATAAAACCAAATACTGTGGTGTTATCACAGAGTACAGAAAATACAGATGGGAATTTATTGATAAAGCCAAAAAGGTTTTGCAAAAGAATTTTTGGAAAGTGTAAATAAAAATGCTGCAGAAAAGGGAACCAAAATTGTGCAAGCAAGGCTACAAACAGTTCAAGATCTAAAGGTGTTCAACATCGTCTGTGACCAAGTGGAAGCAGTGTGACGGTACAATCAGACATCTTTGTTATCACATGTTAAGGATGTGAGGGAAGAAGCTTTATCATTTCTAAGAGGGAAATACAGTAGGTAACAATGTTTGCTTGTGAAGTAGATTGCAAGGCAATTAGAGCTACACAGAGATGGGAAGTAACGAAGTACAAATACTTCGTTACTGTACTCAAGTAGATTTTTCTGATATTTTTACTTTACTACTTATTTTTATGGCGACTTTTTACTTCTACTCCTTACATTTTTACACAAATATCTGTACTTTCTACTCCTTACATATTAAAAAATTGGCTCGTTACTTCAGGTTTGAATCATTTCAATGGAGTTACCGTTATTATGTTTTTTATACGTCATCAATACCAAATTCAATCTAATTGGATGGGAATCTACGTTGCATTTGACGCACCACTACAAGATGAATCGACAGATTCGGCGGTATTCATTCGTGGCAAATCATTACAGCTTGGTGGTGGTGGCGTTAGCATAGCAGTATGGACGACGAGATGATTGAAAATGAACACAACGGAGATCTAGCAATACCTTGGCTTTTATCAACACTCTTCTTAAGGCAGGAATATTTATGAGCAGAAAACAACTGAAGTGAGTTATAATGAAGACTTACTAGAACATATATTAAATTTTACATCTGCATAGCTCAGAGGCTTATATATATATATATGTATTTTTTTTTTTTTTTGTAAAAAATCAATACAAAGTACATCTGCAAAGATTTGGTCTGTGACAGTGTACGTCACTTCAGCAAAAGCGCAATTCATTTAGGGTAGTTAGCGCCATTTCTGTGGTGAAGAGACAGCAGCAACAAACAAAAGAAAACTAACAGAGAGCAGACGTGTTCTAGTTGCTTCTTTGGAAATAACGGGACACTGGTGCTGCGTCAAAGGATGCAATAGTAATTCTAAACAGAAAACAGCAGATGGGGCCTTACGGTTTTTCGTATTCCCCACTTGGAAAAAAAAATACGGACCGCAGACAGAGGACTTAACAAAGAGGCGTCGGGCTCCGTGGGTCGCTGCTGTAAGAAGGAAAGACATCACGTTTCATAAAATATCTCCTCATGTTCGTGTTTGCTCTCGGCATTTTCACAAAGGTAAGTCCTTATAAATATACACTAATAGAAATCAACACGCTGAAATGGTTTGCTTATAAAGTTGCAGGAGTTCATGTAAACCTACTAAAACATGCTGTGGAAGGGAAGCGGAAAGTGATGTTTGTTTTATTTCTTTTTTAGACCGCTAAAATTTAATAAATAATGCATTATCTGTATATAATCATTTACACAATCTGCAATACAAATATATTTTTTTTTATGAATAAATATATATAAATACAGTGTACATATAAAAACATTGTACATATAAAAACACTGTACATACCCACTCATCAGCCAACTCACTGTATTTATTCATCCTGTGCAATCTACTTAAGTTTATTTATTATAAACCTTTGTTCGTCCTGTAAGCTTTTCAGTTTATTTATTTACCTCTGGCCTTACTAGTCCGATGTACTTGTGCTGTTTTGGTATAGCAAATTTCCCCACTGTGGGAAACATAAGCATATCTTATTTTATAACTCATCTAATCTAATGGGCTCTGTTATTAAGGTGCTTTATATAGTGTTTTGAATAGATGTGTAAAACACTCAACCTTTCATCTGCTTTGCAGGTCAACCCGCATATGAGATGATGGAGACTGACCCAGACTGGGCTCCATCCCTGCATCTGGGCCACACTGACATCAGACCAACAGACACAGACCGCTCTTTAAGACGTGGTTATCGGGAACAGCTGAAAAAGAATACCCTGCAAGCAACTTAAACGGGGCTCCATCAGGCTGATGAAATCCTTCAGCGACAGGATGAAGTTACACATGAGGCGACAGAGAACCCTAACCAGCAACAGACTGACACGCAGAAGACTGCTGAAAACGTTGGCCGGCCAAACACCAAGGATGACAGAAGGTGGTCGTCAGGAAGGACAGACAGAATGTAACCTGTGTGTGCTCAGGTGTGCAGAGATGAACCGTCTTTTGGAAGAAAACAGAGAGCTGCGGCGTGAACTTGATGAGCTGCAGATCTCTGATTGCTTCTTTGGAGAGAGTAATAAAAAGTCAAGTACTATACGGGTCTACCAAACTTGGCAACCTTTATGGCTTTGTTTAATTTTCTGCTGCCTCTCATGTCTGCTCAAAATAAAATTCTCAGTCCATTTCAAATGCTTCTGTTAACCTTCATGCGTCTGAGATTGGATCTGCCCTCAAAACACCTTGCTTATCTCTTCCGTGTTTCACCAAAGACAGTGTACAGAACATTCAATGAAATGCTGTCATTTTTATATGCAACTCTTGTGGAGTTTCTGTGACTGCAGCATTTCTCTTTTGCTTTTCTATGTGTTTCTATGTACTTCTGTGTCTGTCCATTTTTTGTATTTGCTCTAAAACCATGCATTTCCAGTGTATTTTCACCTTTTTACCATAATCTGAGCATATACAAGATTTTAAAAATCTATTCATAAATTCAAGTTGTTTTGGCAATAACTGTACATTGCCCTTTTACAGTAGATGTTTGCAGTTCCTGACCCCTGCTTTGCCACAACCCCAAACAACAACAATGTAGAAATGTGTTTTCAACAGATGTTAAAATCTTCAAAGGAGACAGAAAACACTCCTGACTTGACGTTGCATGTAGCTTAATATAGGTATCTAGCATCAGGCTATACTTTTCTCTATTGCTGTAGAACATTTCACTTTTCTTTCATGCAGAAAGTCTTTCATTTGCCAGATGTTCGGGGACTTCCCCGTATTGCTCCTAGAGTATTTTACCTGGATTCAGTTAAGTTTTACTTTGGCATCTTCACTGAGGCTGATCCTTAGTGTGTTGAAAAATCCCAGAGGTCTTACTCGTGTTGTCATAAGGTTTGTTACCTATTCCTCTTTTATAAATCTTTTATATAATGTAGAAAAGTTTAATCAGCAACTGTGAGGTGCAGAGTACCAGAGGGAGCAAAGCATTCCTAAGTATATATTCAACAATCCTGTTTGTCAGATGGCTTGATGTATTTCTCTGGTCAAGCGTATGGCCTTCACCAAACTTATTCAGCTGAAAACATATCTCTGTCTAAAGAATGTTGTTCCCCAAAGATTACATTTGACCCTCTTCTTCTTGTTAACCAGAAAACTGACATTATGCTCTAAACTCAGCTTTTTTTAAGTGTAACTTGATACTAATCACAAAAGTCTGAGGAAAATCCTGTAAGGGCAGTTTTTACTGGGACTTATTTTTAAATCAAGCATTCAGCTCTTGACCTGGATTTGGATGTAACAACCATCTTGCTTGGGAAAGCTTTCAGAGATAAAGTTTTGCAACTTTTATCTGCAGCAGAGGATGTTTGAAACTAAATGCCCATTCTGACTTTTGTATTGAATTACTGACCTGAGGCAAAAAAAGAACATGTTGAGGCTGTAATTTCTGGCATCTAATCTGAAATCTTGCATTTATAAGTTTGAGGTATTAAGAAATATACCCTATCCAAAGAAAATTCTCTAGATTCTAAACTTTGTAAAGCTTTGTTTTTTGGATGAAGCTTATATTTATGGTAGCTGAGGTTATCCAGAGCTATGTCTGTAGTTATGCTCTGTCGACCTGCAGTACATGACAAGCATTTTAATCCTGTATGTTGGAGAAGATTCTCAGTCATCCAGTTCATAATCATTCCAAAAAGTTAAAAAACTGGACACTGGACTTAGTTTCCAAGTTTGAAGACGTTTCGCTTCCCATCCAGGAAGCTTTTTCAATTCAAAATGTCAGAATTAGCATTGTTTTGGCTTAGAAAACAAATTAAACTGGAAGAACAGGTCCACGCTTTAAGGAATGGGCAGTCGTTGGGGTTCTTTGTTAGCCTGCAATAGCTGATACTGGTCTATGCCTCTGAAATGGGGTCGTTAGGGGGAATTGTTGGCCTGGCTGAACAGGCGAGATGTTCTGGTCCCCTGTATCGGGATGGGGGTTGCTATGATAGCGGAATGGAATCATTTCTGCATTGTAGGATTTAAAAGCTAAAACCTGAGTCCATCACCTCTGTTTAAGTTTAGTTTTGGTTAATCCTGCTGATTTTGCTCTTTTTGACCCTGGGTGACTGAGTTTAGATAACATTATCGATATGTGATTTATTTTTTGGTTTGTTTTATAACAACACCAATTAGACTTCAAGCTATCATAACACTTTCCAACTCTAAGCTGTAACATAAATCCTGCAAACTCTACTGTGCATGTTACCTTATTATTCATGCAAGTGTTTTTACTTCCTCACCTCTTTTCTCTCTGGGTTAGCCTTGAGGGAGTGGAGGGGAACAGAAAGTACAGCCCACTCCAGTGGGGGAGAATTTAGTCTGATCAAAAGGTTCTCCTTGGCTTTGTCCCATTGTATCACTCCACATCTTTTTTCTCCCTCTTACTCTCTCTCTTTCTCCCTCTCTCTTTTTACTTTTGATTTCTCAGTTGACTTTACCATCAATAATAGACTGGTTCTATATTAGGAAATGGTAGCTTCTAAATCCTATACCTTTAACAAGGTCAGAGTGAAATCCAGACAAACCTCAGCTTTATTATGCCGCAGCACATGGATGATGTTAATGTCTATAGCCTTTTAAAAAAGAACTACGTGAAACAAAAGTTACAAAGATGTAGTGAAAAACTGGAATTCTTCATTTTTCAACCCAAAACATATGAAGGTGTGCATATTTCCATAGTCACACAGAGTACATCTGAAGAACTAATGCATTTTTGTTAAACTCAATAAGGTGAGTTGTGCTTCTATAAGCTCTGTCATGCAACGGTTTGTGGGGAACCGTAAAATCTTCTGTGGTGGATGGAAATGTTGGGCAGTCCCAATGTTAAAGCATCTTGCTTCTTCTTCCTGACATCTTTTTCACTACCGCTTTTCATGGCGACCTCTGACGCACCTTTAAAAACTTTGCTTTAAGTGTTCTTACATATTTGCCCAATTCAGAATGAGCCATATTCACATCTGTTATTTCTTGTTTGGGGCGGATTTCCTCTCTCCACAGTAGATCATCAGGCACCTTGTTCAGCTGGGCGCCTCCTGGAGAGGTATCCTGGCCGAGCTGCAGCTGCCTTACGTTATCCAGAGGTTGATACACTGAGTCCTGTCTTGCAATGTGTGAATCTGCCTCTCTAGACATTACTATATGTGAAGCTTTTACTATGGCTGACTGTATGTGGTCTTTTTTATCTTCCAGACTTTAATGCTAGCTCAGAGTTTATGTGCCTATCAGTGTGTCCCTCCTAGATGAAGCCACCAACTCCTGCTACGGTATAAGCTTTTACTTGTAAAATCCTGATCAGTGCTTCTGAGTTGCTATTGTGTGTGTGCTCAATCCTCTCAAACCCACAGTCAGTCATAGCAGATGGTCGTTCACACTGTGCCTGGTTCTGTTGCAGGTTTCTTCCTGGTAAAACTGCTGCAAAGTCATTGACACAATGCAGGAGACTGTGGCTACATGCTTGATCTGATTTTCTGGGTTTCCCTCTAAAGAAAACCTTTTAGTCAATATGTCTGTATGATTTGATTGAACTGAAGAACCTTGAGATGACATGAGTTTTAAATCAGCCTGTATAATTAAATTGATTTCATTTGGATTAATACATCCCTTCTGGACACTTTTATAAAATTTCGCATTACTTTCTGGTTTCTTGCTTTCCTAGATTTTTTTTTACAGATAACATTGATATATCCATCGACTTTGCATTAATATGAAAGATAAGAATGGTGCTTTTGAACACCTGCAACCAATTTCCTGCCTTTCCTTTCACTGTAAAAAACTAAGATAGCACAGGGCTTTGAACCATGTGAAAAATTGTCATTATTTTGATAACATTTAAATAAGACATTTAAAAATCCTTAAGAGGAAAATAGGAGAAGGCACAAACTGTTTTTGAATATGCAGCAGCAAGCTGTGATGTTCTGAAAGCAAAGGCAAGATAAGGAAATGTAGTCCATGCAGGACTCTAAGGCCAGCACAGATAAAGAGAGGGGATTTATAGTTAAACCCATTAAAAAGGAATGCTTCATGACCTGGTTTTAAATTAAGATCTCTTTTTTTTAGTTTAAACAACTCTCCCCTTAGAAACATTTGACTTCTTTTGCACAAAAACTTTTAATCCAACATTATAGAGTTTAACCTGATAAATGGCCTCCCATTGCTTCAAAGATGGGATTTTGTAAGTCAGCTGGTCGTCACAAATGGCCTTTTTATTTACTTACTAACACAGTGAAGTAATATTTTTTCAGCTGGACGTTTGGTGTTTTACTTATTCAAAAAGCTGTACACTTCAACATTTGTGTGCATCTGCCCTTCAATAAGATGTCATTAAAAGAAATGATGCCATACTGTAGGAAAATAATACCCAAACGCCACTTTAGTCCTCTTACCAAATACAGTTTGGTCACAGGATAAACAGAGCTCCTCTGTTTTGCACATTGGAGAATTCCACTGTATAAGTGTTGCAGCTCCCACAGCTATGGAATCAACACATCAACTCAAACTCCACTGCCATGACTCGATAAACACATTACTTAATCATGCTATGTTGTTTGCACCGATGAAGGTTGAATTGCCTCACTTGAAGTTAAACGTCAAGCTTATGGTTTACTTTCATTCTGACTGAACCAGATAATAACAGAGATGTTCACATATTTTTTGCACAGTCCAGTTCGCATCTAAAATCTTTTGCCCAGAGGTAGTTATGCCTCAGCTCTCTAACATCTGGAAAAAACATTTGAATGAAATCCATGATATCCACTACACCTCTACCACTGCATTTCTCTATGTGAGGATCCAAAACTTCCACTTTATACCTATTTAAGCATTATTTCTAATATTTACCCATTTGCAAAAATAAATACGCATGAAATGAAAAATAATTCCTGATCAGGTTTAATTTCTATATATCCAAATAAGTGGTTTTGCTCTTTGTATTGACTAATTTAACAGTTGCTATTGTTATTGTCCACTTCTTTCTATTCTCAAGAGATAAGGAGTGTTTTCTTTTCCTCACTTTAAGCTTGGGGAATTTTAATTGATATTTAAAGCATTTCCCTTCAGTTTTGGATAATAAAGATGTTGAAATTTAAGCCATACATTAAAATCTAATGAACAACAATAAATGTAGAAAACAAATAACTGAACGTTTATTT